ACCCGATTTTCTTGCCGAGAAGAAACATGTTTTCCTGTTATTTTGAGTTATACCATTTTAATGAATACTAATCTATTTTCATTCTTAATTGAGTTATTCCAATATGTGTAGCTATCATGTTTAGTCTAATACAGTATGTCTACGTGTCTTAATTATTTATGTGAATTATGTGCAGCATGCTCAGTGAATTTCCTGCTTCTTCCCTGACTGGTACTCAGTCTAAATTGTAAGAATTTTGTGATGTAGTTGTCTTTCTATCACTCGCGCTGCATATTTACTTTAGGACTACGGAACGGTATTTCGGAAGATTTTCCTGCATATTTACTTTGGGACTACGGAACGGTATTTCGGAAGATTTTCCTGCATATTTACTTTGGGACTACGGAACGGTATTCCGGGAGATTTCCCTGTATATTTACTTTGGGACCACAGAACGGTATTTCGGGAGATTCCTCTACACATTTACTTTGGGACTACGGAACGGTATTCCGGGAGATTCCCCTGCACATTTACTTTGGGACTACGGAACGGTATTCCGGGAGATTCCCCTGCACATTTACTTTGGGACTACGGAACGGTATTCTAGGAGATTCCCCTGCTCATTTACGTTTAGGACTACGATACGGTATCTCGGGAGATCCCCTGTTGTATTTCTGTGTACTGAGCTGTTACCTTTTATGATTCCATTGTTGTTAAATTTCAGCCTTTATTTTATTGCGATATTACACTCTATATTATTTTATTATATAATTATCAGTAGGGCCCTGACCTGACCTCGTCACTACTCGACCGAGGTTAGGCTTGGCACTTACTGGGTGCCGATTGTGGTGTACTCATGCTACTCTCTGCACATATTTTTCGTGTGCAGATCCAGGTGCACCTTATCAGCCGCACTATCAGTGAGCCGGGACAGCTTTGGAGACTTCAAGGTATATCTACCGCGTCCGCAGACCTCGGAGTCCCCTTCTACTCTTTCTCATGTCCATTATCTTCTGTATTTTCCTTGTAAGAATTCTGATGTATAGAGACACTAGATTTTTCCTTCTGTAGGTTGTGATTCATGATGTTCCGGGTTTTGGGATTTGCTGTGTATTTTTGAACAGTTAGGTGTTAAAATTTTGTTTTCATTTTATTATTCCGCGAATATTAGGCTTACCTAGTCGTAGAGACTAGGTGCCGTCACGACGTTATACGGAGGGGAAATTTGGGTCGTGACACAAGTCACCTTTTATTTGAATCCCTCATCAAATGGAAGGTTTGACTCCTAATTTATGGTCTACAAAAATAGAAGACTGAGTAAGGAATTCTGTTGACCGAGGGGAAGGTGTGAGGCACCCCTCGAGTCCCGTAATTCTAGCACAATCGCTTTGTTGACTTATGTCCGGCTTAAATCAATTCTTGGCTATTCTTGTATTTTTATTGATTATGGTTTGCCTATTACCACTTAACTAATTATTAATTTTTATTAATTATTTTGACCTAGATGCGGTATGCATACAAGGTATTTATTTAAAATTGAATGTTAAATCAAGGTACGGAATGTACACGTGGTTATAACATAATTATTTTAAATTTAAAGGTATCAAGACACGAAATGCGCACATGATCCTTTTATTATTTAAGCATATTAATCCAAGGTTCGGGTATGAATACATAGGCTAATATTTAAAGTGCATCTAAAACTTTTCTAACGTATTCATAATTTATTTCTTTCCTAAGTTTGAGATTATTTTGAGGTCATGATTTATGGATATATGGTTATGGAAGGAATATGAAATCTTTTTGCTAATTTATTTACAAGGTCGATTATACCACTAAGTTATAAAACAAAAATAAAATTGTGGCTAACTTGTTCCTAGCGAATTCGGCAGATTAAAAGAGAATGGAGACAATATAACAAAAGCAACTCTAATCTCAGTCATATCCAAACAATGTTTCATATCTATTTATCAATAAAGCTAATAGGCCTCTTAATAACGAGCAAAGTTCCATCACAACACAAAAATGAGATACGATAACAAACACCTAGATACATAGAAAATGGCTAATAACAGATAGATCAATACAATGAGATTTTCTTAAATAGAAGTGAGATAAAAGTGAGATACAAACACCTAGATACATAAAAAATGGCTAATAACAGGTAGATCAATACAAAAATGAGATACGATAACAAACACCTAGATAAAGTGAGATAGAAGTGAACTTTTTTTTTGGTGACTTTTATTTCCTTAAATTGTCTTCAAAGGCTACAGTCTAATGAAACAAGTGGATCTAAATACACATAAATAATAAAATTTTAAAAAATGAGGCTTGACTTTGCGCTACACTAAACTGAACAGTCTGCCAAACTCAATTCAGCCAACTTTTATATAGGTTTACCAAATGGTCATTCCTCCTAAAATTGTTTACTCAAATCTCGATTTAGGCCGTAGGGATTTAGAACCTCATAAACAAGCTTAAAAATATTATTATTTTCATCTTGAAAAAAATTAACCAAGCTGAACTTACTTAATGAGAATATATCTATACAATGAGATTATTCATTTAAGACTAAGATGAGTTGAAATATATAGTAAAGAACAACGTAACAAAGTATAATTACCTCAACCAAACACAAAGTTGATAGACATGATGTACTGCACTTGATCACGAATTTGGTAATGTCTAAGACTTAAACTGCTAAAAACAAAACTAACGAACCTAACAAATGAGATAAGAATTGCAAAATTAAGTTGTTTAAATAATTCACAAAATATGATTAAAGGAAAACTACAACTCCCAGTATATTGATTCATATGAGAAAACCCAGAAAGTAACTTAGGAATTTTTTACATATTATTATTATCTCCGTTAGTTTATTCTATTGAATCATCCGATTCCCTCGTATATTTTAAATAGAAATACACACATCTAAATAGCTTAGATATTCTTTAAACTAATTTAGTGAAACATATCAAATCAAAAGGAAATTTCGCAACAAATCATTCAAGGAGGAACAAGAGATACTCAAAACAATTATCTCATTCATCATTATCAAGTATTACTAGCAAAAGGAAAGTGGGGAAGAGCAGACCTTAAGGAGATTTTAGTATATATAGAAAGAATCTGGAATACAACAACTTCCGGCGACTGAATTCGATCAATAAAGGCGAACCACGACCAAAACACGAACCTCAACGGCAATAAACTCGAGCAAACCCGCAATCTTTCGAACTCAGACCACAAAGATAGAATTTATGTTTCTTTTGATAAAAGGAAAACAGAGGTTGTGTCTTTCTTTTTGAACTAGAGCTTTATCCGAAGAAGAAAGTCATACTTTTTCCATTATGTTTTCTCTTAATCCTTTCCTTCTTTCTTGTGAAGTATGTTATATAGATGTGTATGTTGTATAACTGATGTGAGGAAGTGGCGAGAAGAGTGGGAGAAATGGGAAATGAGGGGTGTATATGTGGGGGATACGTGAGGAATATTGGAGAAAATGGGGCTTATGATATTTTATTTTTAAAGTAAAAATCAGATTTTAAATAAAGTTTAACAAACTTTATCACTTTAACGTGCTTTTACTTCATTTTTGATTTTTTTTGTCTTTTATTTTAAAAGCTAATTAAATTATGAAGATAAGAAGAATAACCAACATTTCTTACAATATAAGAAAATTAAATATTTACATGTACTTTAAATGATACTAAGAAAGATTCTATAGCTTGCTTATTAAAATATTAATTAAAAGAAAGCAAATATTTTTTGTAAAATTTTTTTTTCTCTTTATAAATAAAAATAAAATTTGTACTATAATTATGTGAATATTTTTGTAGTTTTTTTTTAATTAATTTTTTAATAAAACCTATTAAGAGTAAGATAAAAGTTTAAAATATTAAAATTAGACCTAAAAAAAATATTTATACTAAAATAGTATAGAATTTGGGTGTGGTAAAAAATTAGTTGTTCACAACAATGATGAGTGATAGATAATCCTTTGAGTATCTGAGTTATTCTCGGATCTAGTAGAAAAATGTAGACAAGAATCTTGGTGAAAAAGTTGTGTTTGTATGCTTGCAATAAGATCCGATTCTCTCATCTAAAGTCAAAGTGTATTTTACAAATGAATATCACATGTTCCCAATCATTATGTCTCTTTCTATTTATAGGGAACATGTTCCTAAAAACCTTAACAGTACAAATGCAGAGAATCTTTTATGTCCTCTCTTGAAACCAGCCGTTATAACTCTGTCAAGGGTGTTCGACCTCGGCCTTGATCCTTGATGACTCTTCGGCTTCAGCCCTTGCTGACTCTTCGACCACAAACTTCATCGTTTCTTAGATTATTTCGATAAGCGACAACTGGGAACAATCCACCAATATTATTTTAAAGATAGATTTTGACCCATACGGTAACCATGGTAAACTAGGGGGAAAAAATATCAAGATTTTCAGAACATCATAAAAGAGCAAATATGATAGCCAAAATTATGGAGCACTTAAAATTTTAACAGATGAAATCAATCAATCAATAGCATCTCAATCCGGAAATGATTTGGGTCAATTACATGTAGCCTCCATATACATTTTCTTTATTCGGTCTATTTTTTGCCCAATATTAAGTAATTTATATTTTTAATCAGATTATGATTATCTCAAAGACTCAAACTAGAGGGTCTCTAAATCTTATCCTTATTTCCATATTGACATAGAGTTGTGTGCTTTTGATCCTCCACTAACCAAATTCACAAAGTTGTCATTTTTTAAATTAACATAAGGAGGTGATAACAATTAACTTAGGTATCATGACGATAAGAATTGAAATTATTAATAACGAAGGGACTCAAGCCACACCAAATCCAATACATGATTAAAATTGAATTTGCAAATAAATATTGCATTTCATATTTAAACATACTGAACTTCAGTTTTTATAAATTTATACGATTTCACCATGATTATTTGAACTTTATATGAAATATTAAAATATAAGTCTTTCATATTAAAACACAGATTCAAAATCATTCCTTTTTTCAACTCCTAACTTCATCTTCAATTTCAATTTCAGCTCAAACATTTTCCCAAAATAGAAATTAAAAGGAAAAAAAAAACACTGAGATACCAAAAGCCCCATTGTCGGGATCCGAATTGAGGAGAGAGTAACTTGTACGACGACGTTTGAAGACAACGAACTGATGAAGCAATGAAGAGCGCAGAGTGATAGATCCGAATTCAAAGTAAGAAAGTATAGAGGCCGATCGAGACGATGGCGGAAGATGAGTCAGCCAAGCCTAAGCCTCGACCAATCATCCGTCTTGGTCTCTTCCTTATTTCCCACAGCTTCGTCGTCAGGTTCGCCTCTTACTCTGAATTCATAACACTTTTTTTTCTTTTTTTTTCTCTTTTTGTTGCTTGCGGAGACTTTTAAAGAAGCAAGCATATGAATGAAGGCTATAAAGGTTTTGAATTATTCGCTGATTAATGTTGCATTTTGGTATGTCTTCAGTGTGGTTTGCTGCGTAGCTGGGGTTTTTGCTCTCTTGCTCTTACCCGTTCTCGCTAAGAACACCTACATTTCCGAAAATGCCCTCATGCCTGGTTTGTTTTAATCTATCGATGTGTAATTCTAGTGCTTACTGTTCCAAAAAGACTCACCCTAACACTTGGTTTCGACCATTATTTTGCAGGTTCTGCTAGTCCCATGCTCTCAAATGATGATGTTTCACGGGCTAGAGCATTTGTGAACAAGGTCGTTAGCTTTGATTCCAAATCTGATACCTCAAGCATGTATGTACTTGCCTCCACATTATTTATGCCGAATATCTTTCCTCCATGTTTTTTGTTTTCTAATGTAGACCTGGTCCTTAGTAGAAACCAGTAATTGAACATTGTTTCCTTGCTGACTGATATGTTCTTATGAAATATACTGATGTCCTTAATTCGGTGAAATGTGTACACTCTCAGATACTCTTTAGAGATGATCACCTAATAAGGGACTTCCTTCTCTATTTGTACTATGTTGCCAGGGAAAGCTAAATATAGTAAAGATTCTATACAGTTTTGTTTACAATTTTGTGCCAGTTGATTCTGTGGCAGTGCTTAATATGAGTTTTCTCCTGCCCAGTCAGCTTCGAGGTTCTCATCGATCGATTACAAATGTTTCTATCACTGAACTTGCTTGTGCTCCCCTTTGATCGAGTGCTATTTCTATAAAGAAGATTGAGTAGTAAAATGTTGAATTGGCTTAGTAGCATTGTGCTGATTAAGGTTCTGACCTGTTTATACCCTTTCGTCTCCTTCGTGATATAATAATGGAGCAAAACGAAAACTTAAGGTAATAACTTAATTGGGAAGTTGGATACTAATGCCTTGTCTGATTTCGCCAAGTCTGGGGAGTGCAGTATCGTTTCACCAACCTAAACCACCGTACTTCTCCTATAAAAAATCACTGTACTTATACTGAGGTTTGTAAGGGGGATAGGAAGAGGTTATTTGAGGTCACTAGTACCTTTGTAAGTCCTTGTTTTTTTTTATGTACTTTCGACGGCCTAAATCTACTATGCATCTATATAACTAATATATTCATTTGTTTTCATGGATGTAGAGGACTTCAAGAATTGGTTGCACAACATATTGCAGATTTGGGCGGTGAAGTTAATTTTCATAAGTTCCTACCTCAAGTGAATAAGTTTAACCCCCTGCATTTTTTCTCCAGTCCTGATCAAGGAATAGTCCAAGAGAATTATAGTTGCTCATCATATGGCATCAATACAGTTGGATTTATAAGAGCTCCAAATGGTGACGGGAAGGAGGCTATTGTATTGGTGACCCCTTATAATTCTGTAAAGACCAGCACTGGTGAGGCTTTATCACTAGGCATTGCATACTCAATTTTCTCCCTGCTTACTCGAGTGACGTGGTTAGCTAAAGATATCATATGGCTTGCTGCGGATTCACAACACGGGGAATATGCTGCAGTTGCTGCATGGCTAAGAGAGTATCACACACCATCATTTGGTCGTTCTGGGAGAGGTCTGTTTGAATCAAATGCAAGTCCAACAACGGGAGAAAAGAGACATAATGATTTTCTACGTGCTGGCACGATGGCTGCTGCCCTTGTCATAAAGGTTACAGATGGCAGTGAGAAAGCAGAAAGAGATGTTCTCAATTTATATGCTGAAGCATCCAATGGGCAGATGCCAAACCTTGATTTGATCAATGTTGTGAACTATTTGGCTGTAAATGGGCAGGGGTTACGGGTGAAGGTTGAAAAATTAGGGTCATTGCTCGACTCTTGGTGGTTGAGAAGTCTGGGTGAACTGTTTCAGAAACTGGGGAAA